TGATTCGGTTCAGTTCGTCTACGACTATGGTCTTTGACACAAGACCATCGCGCCCCAACGTAGCGCAGAACAATTTTATTTCATTTATAATGTTTGTCAACACTTGGTCGCGGTTAGCCATGTTGGCAATCTAGTAGATTGTCACTTATTATTGTCACAAAACTAATTATTATAAATGCTTTTATTTGGGATTGGTTTGGGAAATAAAACAAACTTTCATTCAATTTAGTTTTTATTTTCATTTTGTTTTTATTATTTGGTTAGTTAGTAAACTTAAGTATAGTTACTATGGAAACACTTTCATTCAACAAATTAGTAAGGGTATGGAGGGATAAGGTTTTGACCATGGTGAACACGCATTTCCGCATTTCAATCAAACAATCACACTTAAGAAAGAATCAATTCAAAACCAATTAAATCGACAAATTTTATCGGCCGAATAAAATTTGTAACTCTTTAAAGGTCATAACAACATTTCCTTAAGTGAATAATTAAGCCTGACAATATGCAGCAAAATTTTGACACGACAATATACAACAAACTTAAGTTGTAATCAAATCAATTAAATTTTCGAGTGAGAAATCGCGTCAAATAAGCTTTTTATAAATTTGTATAAAACAATGTCTAATATGTGTTGCCGTACGGGTGGCCAGACATCGGTTGGACAGACATTTATATGCAATTTGAAAACAAAGAAAATTTAAACTAATAATGAATGGATATTTAAGGCCAATAATGAGCACATCTACTCATTCAATGGCCGATCGATTGGTAATGCAGGGACAGAGAGTCGGCGATGGATTCGTTTCAATACATCTCTTATTATGTTTAATAACAAACACTTATGAAAACAAGCAATAAACCATTCATTCAATCGTTGTCTCAAAACAACTTATGAGCGCAAAACACACTGCACTCAACACAAGTCATCGCATTCTCACAGCAATACATTCATATATAACGTTACGCGCATTGAGAGTTAGTGGCTGTGTAGACCCAACAATCATGGTATACGAGAGTGGCTATCAATTGGTGGCAAAAGGGTACAATATTTTCAAACTAATAGTAACTGAATTTGTGAATGAATGGCGGGTGGAAAAGCAATTTAACTATCAATGCAACGTTATGTGTTTAAGGACTCCACAAATGCGATCCCATCATTGAACACACACTCAACCGGTTGTGCGGACTATTATGTCATCGAAAATCTATACGTTTGCAAAACGTGTGATTGTGAGCTAAAACTGGATATAGCCGCACGATTAGAGTAAGCAATGCGTTGATAAGCCCTCGTAATGGCATAAAAGCGCCAATATATGACATGCAGTTTGCACTCTATTCCAGTCAATCAATACATACTATATTACATGTGTTTAATTAGCACTTGGGATAAAGCAAACCTTTTATATGAGAATTAATACTTAATACCATAAAGAAAAAGACATTCCATACATGTATACATTATGCACCACATTATGGCACCGATAGACAATGAATACACAGGTAGTGACAGAAAGAGGGATGCATTCGTATGAGTCATTATCACTTCAAATTACATCTACATTCAATGCTACAGCTCTCTCTCTCTCTCTCTCTCTCTCTCTCTCTCTCTCTCTCTTATCTGTTGTTCGTTGCCGTTGGTTGTGGTGATGAGCAGCTGAAGTAGACGGTTGATGGTAAGCAATGTGTGATGTGGGCACCGATGAACAGAATGTACTTGATGTCGACGTCAAGCAAAACCGACTACACGGTCAGCGACAGTAGTTTGAGTGCGTTATGAGTTCTCTTCAACATGTCGTCTGGAAACATGTGAACAATGTCTGTGAGTTCACTCATTTGTGTCTCGAATTTGGTCTGACGGTCGTTGAGGTCGGAAAGCACAGCCATATTAGAGCTCAATATACGGAACGCTTCACACAAAAAGGTCGACTGTTGGTGAGCGCCGGGCGGTTGCGCTTCACCCGTGATGTACGACTGGAAGTCCTGTTCAGTCATATTAAGCGAATCGCCGGTTATATTCTCTATGAAAGCGGTGGCGCAGCACAGGTTCGTGAAGTAATAGCCCACCTCTCCAGACATCAGTCGCGACGGTGGACTGAAGCGAGTGATGAGTTTGATGTTAGACTGGAGTAACGGTAGGTTCGCTTTGATTACAATGAGGACCAGCGCCGGCAGGAATTGGTCGGCAGACACCGGCTCTTGACTATTCACTTGCAGTAATTTGAATATCGTTTTACTGCAGTTCACAATACACCCTAACTTCTCGAGCGGCACTTGTTTTGAGTCCATTTCAATCACTTCTGGGATCGCTTCGGTTACTAAATTTTTGGTCTGTGGATGCCTTAGATTAATGTCGACGTCCAAGTGCTGAACCATAACCCAATTGAGTGAACGGATCCGCTTTTGAAGCGCCAGCTCTCTGTCCTTATCTTCGTGTTGGATACGTGTGAACAACGTTTGGTACAACTTTTGCATCAAATATCGTTTGGTAAAATCGACCAACTATTCGATCTGTTCACTACTGACCTCGCGGTAGAGCGGGTCAATTGTGACGTAAATGTTCATTGTCTGATAGAAGTCGTGGATCTGTTCCGACATCTTTTTAGTGGACGCTTTATTCGCCGATTTATTCATTTTGTCAACAGTTTAATTGATTTAGTGATCAATTAAAGGGTGGTTTGGTATCACTTTTGCACTCACTGTCGCTACATATACACCGCATATACTGTTCGTAGAGTTGCTTTGGATTTGATGCACACATTGTTATTGTCATTCAATATACAGGTTGTGGTTCACATTTGTTCATCACAGCCACACCCGTACACTGTCAGCCATTACATTTACATGCGTACAATCATTCACTCGTTTACGTACGTAAAACCAAACCCACACCTACGCTATAGTCAAACACACGCAACAACAGTGGCTCCATTCATACATTCACTACACATACACTATCAACGTCACTACAGCAACAATAATAAACATAAATATGAGTCAAACTATTAATGCAGTAAAATATTGAATTGACTGAACAAATAATTGACAAATCATATGATAATCAATAAACCGATATATTACTCGTAAACCTAATGATAAACTAAACTACACTTCAATGAATGCACTCATGAGTGAGTTGTCGACAATACAAGAGGCGGAAGAAGTGTCACAAATGAAACAACTCATAGCCTTGAAGAGTGACCTGAATGTCAATTAACCGTCGAAATTAGAGCCGACAATAAATAGTCAAAATGTGGTACAATTGGCTCGTGTTATATTAAGGCCATCACTTCCATCGGGTAATCAAAGTGTTGGTGACGTTTGCAAAGACAATGCGCTCTCGAGTGAGACATTGAAAATGTCTGCCATCAAAGTAGACGACAATCAGCCGTTGATTGTGAATAAACTGAAGACAAGGTCTCAAACAAAATCCAACACAAAATGCCTGAAAAATAATGAAAACAAAGACACAAATGCTGTGCGAAAAGCCGTCAACTCTGGATCTAATGGCGAGTCTTCCGAAGCCGCCCACAAGTGTCCACTCGTCGGCTGCGATAAAGCGTTTTCGGCGAAAAGTCGACTCGAAATACACGCTAAACGACACGTGAAGGGAGAGACATTGGCGTGCGATTACGAGAAGTGTGACTCAGTTTTCGCCTACGAGTACCTACTTCTGGAGTACAAGAAGGTTTACGAGAGGCGGAACCGTTTGTGGCAGAGAAACGACCAGTGTTTCGACGCCATCACAGAGTCGTACAACTGTTGCCACAAGGAGTGCGCAAAAAGGTTTGATACCAGAAAGCAATTGGTTTATCACATCCGCGCCGTTTACACTGACCAACGGTTGGTCTGCGATCACGACGGCTGTCATAAGGCGTTCCAAGCGGTGAGCAATTTAGGCCGACATCGTCTCACACACGAGCCCTCACAAAATAAGCCATACGCGTGTCCGGACTGTCACTACAAAACCGCATTCAGAGAGCATTTGGCCGACCATATGGCTAAACACAGGACTGACGGACAGCTCAGAATGTATCCGCCACCGGGCTGTGACTATTAGACCACATCCAGGCTCGATATGACCGCACACGAGGCTACCAGTCATACGATATTTATGAGATTACTTATGCAGACACAACACACGGACAATCATTAACTATGAAAAGTGTATCAATTACATACAATTCACCATGGTCAACTAGAGGGAACCATTCCCGGCGGAGTGCACACAGAGGCATCACCAGCGCAACGCCGGACCTTGTCAGCCAATGGCCGTGTAACGTCCGGTTCGGGGGCAAATCCAGCCCAATGGACTCGAGGTCCATCCCAACCAGTGGAGGCTAAAACCCTCAGTGGCGTACACCCGCGCAGGTTTCTTCTTGGGAGGGGGATCAGAACGACGGCGGAACTAAACGTTAGAGGGTTAGTGGTAGTGGGGGTTATATCCCACCCTTGCTTGTAAGCGCCTCCCGGCGGGCCCGGCCCGGAGGTCTTCTCTTCGTGAGATCGCCACACACACTCTCCCTCACACACACACACAAAACAAATCTCATACCTAATCGATAAATATCACCGGGATTAAATGCCAAACAATTTATTGACAACAACAACACTACACAACAGCTCTGTTCGGGGCCCAGCAGCGATCTGGAGGAGAGATGGTTGTGTGTCGCATCTCTCCTCTCTGTTGTGACGCACACAGCATCCGCATCACCAAATATGGAATGGTATGCTGTGTTGCGTCACAACACCGCAACTTCGTTGCATTATTATTTTGGGCTACTGGGCGGTCAGGGGTAGGGGGCAGTCCATACGCTTACTATTGAAGTACGCGGGCATACAGTTCACAGACAAGGGTTACGCCAACCCTATGGACTGGAATTCGGGAAAGTTTACACTGGGTTTAGACTATCCCAACATTCTTTACTATATCGACCACGACCTTAAACTGATCCAAAGTATAGCTATAATGAGATACTTGGGTAAAAAGCACGGCCTGTCGGCCATCTCTGAGCCCCAACGGGACGTACAATACATGGCTGCACAACAGCTTCAGGATGTGTTGCAGGGATTGGCGGCCATTATGTATGGACCGGGCGATGGAGAGGCCAACCCCCGGCCTATATCACTGGCACTCTCGAGCCTCAGTTGGATCTGTTGGCGAAGTTCTTGGCGGACAGGCGGTGGCTAACCGGCTATCAGTTATCTAACGTAGTCATTTTGGCGTATAATGTTTTGGATATACTGAGATTGTATGCGCCCGAGTCTGTGGCCAAACACCCGACTATTGGCCAGTATTTGGACATATTTGAAGCCTTGCCCGCCATTAAGGCATGAGTTCAAATTAGAGTAACCAGGTGTACACTATTAGGCAACATTGTACACTATTTTAGCACTTTGTACATTATAATTATTTTGTACACTATTTATTCACAAAGAAAAATTAACTCAAAATTAAAAATTTTTATAAAATATTTTGTTTTGTGTAAAAGCATTGCTTGTAATGGACAACAAACTATGTTTTAAAAGTGTAAAAAAATTTTGAATATTAATAATTGAAAATATTAGATGATTGCACATAGATTTTAGGAGTAAATAATGTACAAATGTTATCATAAACATTTTTAAATTGTGTTAATTTAACGGTACGTTCCTATACATATTTTACACTAATGAGTACTATACATGTCTACTATCAGGCTGCAAGACAGTTAAATGTGGAGCACAGGGACCCATAGATGTCTCTCATTAAAATGTCGAGTCAACACTTACTGACATAAGCGGGTGTGAGAGTCATGTGATGTTTGAGTTATTGTGAGATAGCGGACAATACATAACTTACGCAAATAATTGTCACACTATTAAATAACAATTACATTAAATTTTAACATTAATTACTAAAAACAATATGTGTTAACATTAGATTATAAACTTATATAAAACGAGTTTCAAATTTATTAATCAATACAGTAAAACAAAACCCCTATTTTCTTATTTAAATAAGAAAATAGAAGTTATATATTATCAGCGTAATTTTTGGGCAAACACAAATATCTGTACCATTTTATTAAAACTTCAATAACATTCATACATTTCATGTTATTTTTTTCTACAGACAGATATAATATATTAGATATAATATACATTAGAAATTAGTTTATTATTTGCTATCTCTCAAACATATGTAACATAACTTTAGTGATTGTATTTCTCTCATAGTTCATTAGTTATTCATTTTTACAGACATGCATAGATATATTAGCGTTTATATCTTGTAATGCGGGTTTCAAGTGATAAAATTAAAGTCTATTTCATTCTTAAAATAATTAACTTAGATCAGCGGTCTATTCACTGAATTAATCATATACTATCTCCCATTGTGTCACCAATTTTTCAATTTCCTAATTAAAGATTAAACTTGATTTTAAGATTAAAATCTGAAGACACCCCCGATTTGATGACATCTGCCATTTTTAACACCATTTCTCTCACAGACATTAGAAATGATGGGTATCTGTGGT